GAGCCAGAGGCAGCATTTTGACTTTTCATTCGGCAAACAGCAGCGGGATCCCCCGTCCATGAGCCCCCCCCGCCCCGGCTGGGATGGGGAAGGGGCCCCACTGGGTGCTGACGTGTGCGAGCCCCCGGGGAGGGGGCCGGGGGGTGGTTTATGCACGTTTTTCCTGCTCAGAGGCCACTGTTATCAGGAAAATCCAATTAGCCCCGCTGGATGCAAACAGGACAAGGTGACCCTGCGGGGGCTGAGCCCTCTCGGCGGGGTTTGCCCGGAGATACGGGACCATTAACCAGCGTTAAACCCCCCCCGAGATCCCGGTACCGCAGCGAGAGCGGCTCCGGGGACCCGCCCAGCATTCCCGGCGTGCCGAGGGAGCGGGAGGGATGCAGGGAGGGAAGGACACGGGAGATGTGGGATATGGATGCTGGCATCCGCTGGCGCTGCTTTTATTTCGGCGGCACATCCTAAGCAACTCCACCTGCTCCAGACCCCCAAATTTGGTGGCAGCTGCAGGAGATTTCTCTGTGGACAGCATGGAAAAGTCTATGGATCTTTGTTTTTTTGGCTTTTGGATCTTTATATTTAGTTTCCTGTTGAATTTCCTGCGGGAATTGCCACTTTTAGGAAGGATGCTGTGGGCAGAGCCCCTCCGTCCCCTCCCCACAGGGATGTTGTGGGGGTCAGTGGGTTCCTCTGATCTTGTTGTGGAATGAAGTGGGAATTTATAATGATTTTTCAGGAAGGGAACCGGCTGGAATTGTCCAGGTGGTTTGTGCAGGAGTGGGAAGGGGCTGGGGCTGGGCTATGGTCGCCAAAAAGGCAACAAAGCTCATCCCAGTTTGGTCTCGGGCAGGAGTTTAAGATGGATTTAAACGAGGAAAACCACTGGGATGAATTTTAGGAACCACCTTGAGAACAGAGATTCACTCCAAGCCCTCCACCCCCCCTAAAAAATGTATATATAAAGCTCCCAAAGTCCAGTATTAATTCTGACATAGCCAAGCAGTTTCCAAAGTTTGCTCTTGGATCAAATTTACCCCCTGACTTCCAAGAGTAATTAGAGTAGGACAGAGAATTGAATATAATTAAAATAGAACACAATAGAGTACAATAATAAAATTAGAAGAATTATAGAATGGAGTAGCATTAGATAAGAGAATAATTAAAAGAAAATAGAATACTATAGAATAGAGAGGAGAAATAGAATATAAGATAATTAGAACTAATTAGAATAAGAGAATGAGAAGACAATTATAGACTAGACTAAAATGTCATTAGAGAAGAATAGAGAATTAGAATTTAATTAGAATAGAACAGAATTGATTAATAACAATAGAAATAGAAGAATTATAGAACAGAACAGAATAGAATAGAGTAGAACAGAATAGGAATAGGAATAGGAATAGGAATAGGAATAGGAATAGGAATAGGAATAGGAATAGAATAGGAATAGAAATAGGAATAGGAATAGGAATAGGAATAGGAATAGGAATAGGAATAGGAATAGGAATAGGAATAAGAATAGGATATTTCCCTGCTGTTTGGAAACCCTCCATGCAATTATTTTAGGTGTAGAATATTCAGACCTGGGAGCATCACCAGGATGTTGCAGGTTTCTGATACCTCAGCCATGCCCTGATCAGGTCCCAGCCATGTCCTGACCAGATCCAAACCCTGTCCTGACCAGATCCAAACCTTGTCCTGGCCAACTCCAAACCCTGTCCTGGTCAGATCCCAGCCATGTCCTGGTCAGATCCAAACCCATGTCCTGGTCAGATCCAAACTGTGTCCTGGCCAACTCCAAACCATGTCCTGGTCAGATCCAAACCATGTCCTGGTCAGATCCCAACCATATCCTGGTGAGATCCAAACCATGTCCTGATCAGATCCAAATCATGTCCTGGTCAGATCCAAACCTTGTCCTGGTCAGATCCAAACCCTGTCCTGGCCAACTCCAAACCCTGTCCTGACCAGATCCAAACCTTGTCCTGATCAGATCCAAACCCTGTCCTGACCAGATCCAAACCATGTCCTGGTCAGATCCAAACCCATGTCCTGATCAGATCCAAACCATGTCCTGGTCAGATCCCAGCCATATCTTGGTCAGATCCAAACCCTGTCCCAGTCAGATCCAAACCCATGTCCTTGTCAGATCCAAACCCTGTCCTGGTCAGATCCAAACTGTGTCCTGGCCAACTCCAAACCTTGTCCTGGTCAGATCCAAACCCTGTCCTGGTCAGATCCCAGGCGTGTCCCCTCCCTGTCCCATTCCACTCTGCCATGTCCAGCCAGGCACGTTTCACCTTGGAGCCAGAACATCAAACAGAGGGGGGGGGAAACACACGTGCTGGGGGATGAAAGGGATCCTTGGCACCATTCCATGGGGGAAAAGCAGCTCCCAGGAATCAAACAGCCCCTGGTGCTCCTGATTTCAAGGTAAAGTTGACTTTTCTCCTTGTCCCCACAGGAGGACGGAGCTGGCGCTTTGCTGCTTTTGCACTGGGTGGAAGTTTCCACCTCTAGGGGAAAATAAAAAGAATATTTTCTAAGTTTTTCTCCCCTAAATGCACTTTGAAAGCAGTTTAAAAGTGTTTTTTTGTTTTTTTTCTGCTTAACTGCAGGGAAAACCCTGCAGGGATGCAGGAAAGGGACCTTATCCATAATCTTTATTATGGACAACTCCCGACTCCTTCAATTTACAATTTAAAATCAAGCAGAACCTGGTGTTTCAATGAGAATGTTCCTCTATTTATGCCAGAATCCAGTGACTTCCCACTAAACTGTCACCTCCTGTGGTTTAAAGCCACCAGGAATTTGGTAATTCCCACCAGGCAGTGCTGCCCTGGGGTCTGGGAGGTGCCCCCAGAATGGGAACTGAGGATGGTAAGGAGCTGTTAAGTTGTTTTATTTCTTGTTGTTGTTGCTGTTGTTGTTGTTTCTGCTGGGAGAAAATACTTTGCAATATTTTCCACTAGGAGTTGTCTAGAAATTAAACAAAATCCCAAACTCAGAGCCCCTTCTGCACATTTCCAAGCTGGTGGGTGGTCAGAGGCAGTTAATAAAGAAAGCAGGTTAAGGAAACAAGCCCAAACCATGAAACTATATGTATTTCTAACAGTTTTATGAATTATTATGGGGTTTTTCTTGACTTTTCCCCTCAATGTTGCTCTGGGATCCATTTCTAGGGGTTTTTTTTGTGGTGTTCACAGTGCCAGGTGATGGTACCACAAACACCCACCTGGGCAGATGCTGCAGGACTTTTCTCTTGTAAATAAAAAGCAAAAATTCTGATGTGTAAAACAAAAACCCCCACCCTAAATAGAATCAACCCGGTCATCGCAGTGGTTTATTTTCACCAAATTTATGATTTTTTGGGGGAAGAACAAGTGCAGAGAAGCTTTTGCCTGGCCTCAAACACCAAATCCCAACACAGTGCCTACCACAGCCACACACTGGGGTCCTTTGGGGGCCTGAGAAATAGAAATAGGTGTTGGTATAGCACCAAAACCCATCCAAACCCCTCAAAACCCCACTAAAACACACCAAGGCCCAGCAAACCCCAACAAATTCCATGATAATCCCACCAAAACCCCACAAAAATCCCCACTAATCCCCACCAAACCCCACCCAACCCCCAGTAAGCCCCACCAAAACCCCATCAAATCCCACCAAGCCCCACCAAAACCCCATCAAATCCCACCAAACCCCACCAAATCCAGGCCTCAGCAGAGTGAGGCCTCACTGCCCCAGCACCAAACTCCAAGGGTTCTCCAGGATCATTTCTGCACAAGGAGAATCCAAACCCAAAATTAACTTTTGTGTTTAAGCCCCGCTTCTGCCTGAAAGGATCCCAATAATTTTGAGATGTTTTTTGCTGTAAATGCTGACTATTATTCTTTAATGTTTGCCTTTATTGTGCCCAGGGGTTGCTGTAGGAAGCAGGAGGGAAACTCAAGTGACACAGGAATTTTGCACAATGTATTTCAGAGCAGAACTGAAAACACGTGTCCAAAATCACTTTTTGCACGTTTAATGACCTTTAATGTGCCATTCTCCTCTCAAATTCACCTGACAGAAGGAGAACCCCCAAAACCTCATACAGTGCCTGATCCTCAGGGAGATGCCGAGGCTGGGAAACATTTCCCTACATCCCAGACCCACATCTGGCACAACACGGCTCCAACCAGCTCTGCTTCAGCCTCTTCCTGCCTGAACTTTGGGAAAAGCCACTCCATAATTCCCCACAGCTCCTTGGGATGGATTTGATTTAATTGTGGGTCAGATTAGATCATCCTGATAGGCCACAATTGGGCAGTGTCACTATGGGAATCATCATTACAGAACTGATTTATGCAGTGGGAACTGCAGAGAGAAAGCAGCTCTGAGGATGCTCCAGAGGACTTGGGTTTGGGACAGTTTGGGCACAAGCTGCAGTTTTGGGTGTTGATCAAAATGCTCCAGTTCCCCACAGAATGAAGTTTCTGCCCCTTTCATTTTTTTTCCTTGTACACAACTGAAAAATTTAAAATAGGTTAAACTACGTCTCCCCCAGCCCTGCAGATGCTCTGGAACATGAGGTGATGCTGCTCAGCTTCACATCCCAGGATTTATCATGTGCCAGGATTAAAAAACACGGGAGGAAGCTCTTGGCTGCTTGGCATCTACTTTCACTCCTCGAATTTTCCTCATCCTCGACTTTTGCCGGATAAAACAAAGCAGGGAGGTGGGAACTCCCTGGAAGCATCCAGGACATGGAGCCAACAGCTTGGGAAAAAGGGATTTGTGAGGCCACAGACATTTGCCACACGCTGTCCCTCAATCCAGGGACATCCAGAGGATGCTGGAGCCGGATCCTGCTCCGGGCTGGGGCAGAGCTTTGCTGGGACAGAGTTTTGCTGGAGCAGAGCTTTGCTGGGACAGAGTTTTGCTGGGACAGAGTTTTGCTGGGACAGAGTTTTGCTGGGACAGAGCTTTGCTGAGCCACGAGTTGGAGCAGCTTGGCCTCAGTTCCCCCACAGAACAGCTCAAAACGACACCATCCACCTCAGAAAAGCACTTTGGGGCTGCCTGGTGCTCTGTGGGCACCTGACAGCCACGGGAAAGGGCGAGACACGGGTGCTGTGGGCTCATGGGTGGGTTTTTAGGGAGAATCCCCCTAAAAATCGATGGTTTTGAAGTCGCTGGAGCAGCGGAAGTGGCTGTCGAGGAACCTGGAGCACAGGAGGTTGGGCAGACAGGGGCAGGTGTGGTGCTGGCGCTTCCCAAAGAAAGGGACCTGCAGAAAAAAACTAGAGAAATGAGGTGCCATGGCCCCAAGAATGATCAATGGGACCATAGCCCTGAGAAAATCCGTGGATTTTCTCAAAGGTTTAACAGGAATGTGCCTGAAATTAGTTTGTGATCCCTCTGAAGTCCTTCCTTTTGCAAGCAGAAGGTGCAGACTCATTAAATCTTGCTCCCAGAGTGTTAAATCAATACAGCACAGGGAGGGGGATGCTCTTCCTGAGGCTGGGACGCTGCTGCTAAATCCTCCTGGAACTGGGACTGCAGCAGCACCAAGCTTTGGGCTAATCCCAGTGTGCTGGGGGCTCTTATCCGACAGAAATCAGGGAGCTGGGGAAGCTCTGAGGATTTAACTTGGCTTCTTCTGGCTCGGCAGAGCATTTATGGCTCAATTTGGAGTGGTGTGGTTTGTGCTTTGCTTGCAAAGGAATGGGCTGGTGGCTCAACCCCAGCTCCCAGTCAAGACCCACAGCATTCCTGAGGGATCAAGCCCAGGCTGGATGGAGCTCTGAGCAACCTGGTCTAGTGGAAGGTGTCCCTGCCCACGGCAGGGGGTGGAATGAGATGATCTTTAGGGTCCATTCCACCCCAAATCACTCCATGGTTCCCTGATTTAGGGTGCTGGGAACATGCAGCAGGTTGCCCAAGATAATGTAGAGGCTGAAACAGCTGCCCCAGCTCTGGGACCCCACAATCCCACCCAGAGCCTTACCCCAAATTCCCCCCTCAGTCCCCCACCTCCATCCCAGAGTTCAGGGCAGTGGGAAGAAGAGATGGAGATGGACAGGTCTGGCACTGGGTTCCCTTGTCCAGTCCCCACCCCCATCACAGCTGCCTCCTCACCTCCCTCAGCACTTTTTCCTTGGAATATCACGATCCAGAAGCATGACAGCATCACTGTAGCAGCGCTGGCACCCAGGTCTTCAGGAATCAGCTCCATTCCCAGCTCCTCCTCCCTGGAAAACCACTCTCCCAACCCCCCCCTCCTCCCGACACCAACCCCTTGTCCCTCCCAGGGTTTCATGGAGCTTTCCCCCCATGTGAGGAGTCTTTGTCCCCCCTTCCCAGCCCGTACCTTGTGACTGAAAGGGTGACACTCGTCCCCCTCCTGGCCCAGGGGGGTGCAGACCCGCAGCCCCCTCAGCCACAGGCTCACGGCACAGCAGGTCCCGCGGCCACACTGAGGGTCCCGCTCGCAGGCCTGGGGAGGAGGAGGATGGAAAAGCACCGTTATCCCTCTTTTTGGGGGGGTCAGCGGTGGAATCAGCCCATGCTGGGGTCGGGGATTTAACCAAAAGGGGGTGGCAGTTCCCAGTTCTGCCGGTTTGGGTGGAGCCGGGGAGGTTTTGGGACGGGGCAGGGGTTGGGGTGGGGTGCCGAGGTTTGTGGGATGGAGGGGAAATCCCTCCTGGGCGCGGTGGTGGGAGGCACAGAGGGAAAGTTTGCAGCTGCCTGACTTAAAGCAGCATTGGTGCCGAGGGAGACCAGCAGCAGCAGGGGATAAACCCACTGTCCGGATCCTCCCTCTGGGAATATCGCCCGGAAAACTGCTCAGTAACCCAGTTTCCCAGAGCTTTAATTTTATTGTTATTTAATTTTATTGTTAGTGGGAGCAGAGTAATTCCAACAACTCAACATCTCCCCTCCAAGGAATACATAAAACTTTGGAAAACAGGGATGGGGAAACTGAGGCACAGATGGAAACGCTGCCTCAGCTCTCAGCACACCTGGAAGTCCACGATGCCAGGAAGAGGAGGATGGGGGCGTTCTGAGCACCAAGCAGGTCCCATTTTTCCCCTCAGGATGTGGTGGCCATCACTGGAGAGGCTCATTGCATTCCCAAAACCTTCTCTGACCCACCTGCCTGATGTTGGGTTGGCAGCACAAGGAGAACTGATGGGATTCATTCAATCCCCCCCTCCCCTCCCAGGGATTTCTTTCCCAGGAGTTCCCAGCACGAGCCCATCGTGACTGAAGAGGTGTGGCAATTGCAGCTGGGGCAAAACCACAAAAAAACCCACCATAAAGCAAAGTTTTGGGGTGCAGCCCTCTCATGGTTGGGCAGAAAGGGGATTTTACAGAGTATTCCCTTTCCTGGTGGGAACCTGATTCTCCCTGAGCTTCCAAAGCTCCTTGAAAACCCCAAATTCTGTTAAAAATCAGATCTCAATAACCCTCACCTGCAAACCCAGGGGGCTGGTGGGGGCTGCAGGCATCCAGGGAGCTGCACATCCAAACTCTTTCCTTGTGGGATTAAAAATATGTGGCCCTGGAATAATTTCAAGCCCTGGGATAAGTCCTGGAATAATTCCAGGAGCTGCTGGGTCTGTTTGGCCCTGGATGGAGGTGGAACCCCCTGACCTGGCTCTGAAGCTCCGGGTTGGAGAGATCAAAATCCCCATGAGCTGCAAAGAAAGAGGTCTGGCTATGAAGGAAAAGAGGAGCCAAGAGCCAGCTGAAGTCAACCCCCAAATTACCATTGGCTGGGAAAAGCCATCATTATCCCTCTTTTTGAAGAGTCAGTGGAGAAACCAGTGGGATGGAAATGCTTGGTTTTTTTCAAGGAAGAAACTAGAGGAAAAAGAGGGGTTCAGCCAAGCCTGGCTTTGCTGAGACCAGCATCCAGACTCTGGAAGCACCACAAAAACCTGGATTCTGTCCCTAAAATTCACTTTTAGCACCACCCTCAATCCAGTGCTTGCTCAGGGACACTCTGAGTCCATGGACAGGGTGAGCAACCACCGGCCCTTGGCATCCTGACAGCTCCCACCTCTGTTAATAATTCCTCTAAATTCAGGAGGAAAAAGGACAATTTGGGGTGTTTGAACCCTTGTTCCAATTGGTAACGTGCTCTGGGAGATGTCCATAAAGATATATTGATGTTTACCTGCTGGAAAACTTCCCAAAATCCCACATTTCCCTGCTGACACGGTGCTGGGAGGAGAAGCTGGTGGAGGGAACAGCACCCACAGGTCAGAAAAATGAGGGATAAATTGGGAAAAAATGGGGGGGAAAAAAGAACCACCCAAAACAAACAGCACAAAGGCCTGTTATTCCTGTGTTATTTCCCAACATAACGAAGATGAAACAATATAAATCCCTGGGGGGGGTGGAAGCAGGACTTACCCCAGTGATGACGGCGCAGGGGCAGGAATTGAGGAGCAGGAGGAAGCAAAGGAGCTGCAGGATTTGGCCCATGGTGCTGGAATTCTGAGCAGCCTCACACTTCACACCCTTTATAACCCCTCCAGCTCCACCATCCCGGGCTTGTTTTCCTCCCCTGATGATCCCAGAAGAAGCAGGTAAGACCTGAATCTCCAATGGCATCAAAGAAATATTAATAAATCACCAAGAAGGGAAAAAAAATCCCCTCCCTCCCCCCCCCGGGGGATTTATCAGCACAGCTGGATTTTCCAAGTACACCCCTAAATCCATATGTATCCTTGACAGGGCTATGGAAGAATTTAATTAAAAATTTGGGGTTATTTAGCCAAAAGAAAACCTAAGAATTAAGTTCTGCTGCTCCCCCCCCCCGTCTTGGAAGAGCCCAAGGTGCAATAATGTGATAAATATCCCCCAGAAATAGACACTTGGCTGCATTTATTTGGGAGAGTAAAAGAAGGCAGAAAGGGAATAATGTATTTTTCATAATTTCAATCTGAATATAATGTGCAAATATGTTGATTTATGGCTCAAAGTACAACCCATCTACCTCGAATTGCATTTGGTGCCTCTTCTGGGAGTGCAGGGGAATAAGAGGATGGCTAAAAAGGCAGGAAAAGGTGGAATTATTTGCTTATTTTTTTAATTTCTACCTCCTGTGAGGATGCAAAGGACAACATCCTAATGTGCTCAGGGTTTGGGGACTCAAACAAAACACCCCAAGCACCACAGTCCATCAGGGGGCAAGAAATTCCTGAAGCCTCGGCCATAAAATAAGCAATAAAAAGAATTAAAATCATTAAAAATTTAAATATCCTTCCATGGCCGACCCATCCTGGGATCCTGCATCCTGGATTTGTCTGAGACTCCCCAGACCAAGCTCCCAGTGCTGGCTGGGGCAGAGATGATGCCTAAGACCCTTTTCCCAACGAGGGCAGGGAATAAAACTCCTTTTTCCCCAAAAAAGAAACTGCATTTGTGATTCTGACCGAGCAAGATGGATTTTCTCAGCCCTGGATTGCAGGAGCCACCCCGGTGGGATCACAGCTCCTCACCAGCATCATGAATTCCATCTCTTCTGGCTTTTCCCACTGAGGAATAAACACCCCGAGGCCGATTTTGGGGCTAGACCTGGTCCATGGGGGCAAATCAGGGACCAGGAGCTGCCCCATGTGGTGCAAGGTGGGTTGGGATTTGAAATATGAATTTGATGGGGCTTTTCTGGGTAACTTTTTTTTTCTAGAGGTTCAGTCTGGTGCTAAATCATCAGTTTAATTAGTTAAAACCAACCCCAACACTGCCCTGCCCCCAGCCCAGCCTTTGATGTGGCAGCTGCTCTGCTGCATCACTAAAGTCTCCTCCACCTGGGCTTGAATTAATTAATCCCCACTCTCCCAAAAAATCTCTCCTTCCAGAAATCCCACAGCCGACAATGGCTCAGGAATGGCTGGTTTGGGGAGGTTTCCTTGCAAAGGGGCTGATGGGACAGAGAGGTTGGATCTCCATTTTGTCCAGTGTTGCTTCCTAGAAGAAGAAAAGAAAAAAGAAAAGAAAAAAAAAGGCAAACAAATAAAAGCAACTCCAGTCCCAGCCATCCCAGTGGGGTGGGATGCAGTGGGAAGCCCCTGGACAGTTGGAATGGGGGCTCTTTGTGCTGCCTGCAGGAGCTCCCAGCTGGACCAAGGAGCAAGAAAAATCACATAAAAAATAAACGATCCTGCTGCACTTCACTCCCCCCATCAATAACATTTTAATTTCCTGACCTGCCAAGCCCAAATCCACCGGCAGGAGCAGCCGGGGACGGCGGCAGACGGGGCCTCATTAATGTCACCCAGCTCTGGGCTGCTCTGCCATAAATCACCTCTCACTCTCTGCTGGCAGCAGGGACGAATTTGGGGGGGGTCCTCAATGGAAAACCGGGCTGAGGATCACTTTTAACACCTCTCTGCCCCTCGGGAAGGCGATGGGGTCCTGGCTCTCCTGCCACTGTGTTTATTGGTCTGGCATGGGCTGAGAATCACTTTTATCACCTCTCTGCCCAGTGGGAAGGTGATGAGGGTCCAGAAGGGCTTGTCTTACTGCAAATTTTGGGCCCCAGCTGTATCCTCGTGTCCCATGCCCCTGCACCCAATCTGCATCCCAATCTGCATCCCGATCTGCATCCCGATCTGCATCCCCGGCCGTGGTCCAGCTCCAAGAGGATGCTCTGGCCGGGGAAGAGTTGCAGGGACTCCATCAAAACCCCGCTTGAATTTCGTTTGGCTGCACAAACCCTGAGCGGTGCTGCGGGAAGGGAGTGGGACACAACTAAACCAGGCTCAGGTGGGAAAAGGTCGAGAAAGAAGGGAAAAAAACCTCAAAATTGCATCTCTATCACACGCTCTGCGGGGAAAAGGCACCCAGGGAGGGCTGATTCGGGGGCGCGGATTTGCTGCGAGCTCCCCCCGGATCAGGGCACGGTGCTCGCGTGAGGGATTGTGCGGAATCCCGGGAGAATCCCGGGAGAATCCCGGGAGAATCCCGGGAGAATCCCGGGAGAATCCCGGGAGAATCCCGGGAGAATCCCGGGAGAATCCCGGGAGAATCCCGGGAACGGCGCGGGTGGGATTTCCCCCGGCGGCGCCGCTGCCGCTGAACGCGGGACGGCTCCTTTTGGGCGCGCGGAGCCGCCGTCCGAGGGGGTCACGTGGTGACGCAGCTGCCCGGAGCGGGGCGGAAGTGCCGGCGGGGCCATGGAGGGGACCCTGGAGCAGCACCTGGAGGAGACGTGGGGACGGGGGGACACGGGCGGGACGCGGGGGGGGCGAGGGGGTGACACGGGGGACGCGGGCGACGCGGGCAGGGCCGGAGGGAGGCTGGGGGAGCGGGGCTGGGCCGGCCTGACGCCCCGTGGTGGGGGGAGGTCCCGGCCCTGACCGCGCTGTGTTCCCCCAGCATGAAGAGCCCGGCCGTGGTGGGCGTCCTGTGCACCGACTCGCAGGGGCTCAACCTGGGCTGTGAGTGAGCGAGCGCCGCCGGGGGCCGGGGCCGGCACGGGCCCTCCGAGGGCTTGCGGGGCTGGGAGCCAGCGGGGGTGGGAGTCCCGGGTCCCGCCATCCCATCTGAGGGCTCCTGGGGGTGGGGGCGCCGGGCGCTGTCCCATGGAGACCCCGGGCTGGGGGCACCAAGACCCGCCCAGTCCCTTTAAGAGCTCCCAGGGGTGGGGGGCAGCTGATCCTACCCCGAGGGGGTCCCCGGCTTGGGGGCCCCTGGGTCCTGTCCATGCCCCCTAAGGGCTCCTATGGGTGTGAGGCCCCGGGTTGGGGGTCCCAAGCCCTGTAAGGACTCCGCGGGGGGGGGGAAGGGGGCACCAGGACTGGCTCTTCTGGAACCCCCCACCCACCCCGTTTGGGGGTACCTGGCCTTGTCCTGCATGAACCCCACTTTGGGGACACCAGGCCCTGCCCTGCTGTCCTGGCCCCACCTTTGGGTGTCCCCAGGGGCCACCACCCACCTGCACTGCGGAGGAAACCAGGGCCGGCTCTTCCTGCCGCCTAAATTCAAGACATTTTGGTGGTTTGAGAGCAAGTCTGGGGAGACGCCACATCAGCCCATAGGGAGGGAAATGGGCTGAGGCAGGATCAGCCCCCCTTGGCCTGGGGGAGGCAAATGGGTTTCACACGGGGCTTTTTCCATCGTGTCCCCCCTCCAGGCCGAGGGACCCTCTCTGATGAACACGCCGGGATCATTTCCGTGCTGGCCCAGCAGGCGGCCAAGCTGAGCTCGGACCCCACGGACACCCCCGTGGTGTGCCTGGAGTCGGACAACGGGTAAGTTCCCAGCCTGCCGGGATCACTTTTTCCCCTGTTTTCCTTTTCCCCAGCCCTGGGAGCCTCCCGGAGTCGGATCTTGGGAGCAGCTCCTGGAGGAAGCCCCAGCTCTGAAGCTGTGGAGGAGGCACTGCCACAGGCACAGGGATTCACTGGATTAACGGGATTTTAAGAGGCAGGAACTGTAAAAGCAGTGGGAAAGCTTTTGGGAGGGGGGTGGTTACTGCAGCTCTGTTCCTTTTCCACACAGGGATCCCTGTGGATAACTCAGGCGGTGCTGTGGGAGTCAGTGTGGCAGCAGGGATGTCTCCAGGTCACAGAGTGGGAAGGGAGGCAGGATCTGGCTTGGAGCTGGGGCTGCTGCAGCTGCTGAATGATCCCGGGTCCAGTTCCCACCCCCACCAGCTCCTCCTCCCCTCCCTCAGCACTTTCTCCTTGTTTTAGGAACATCATGATCCAGAAGCACGACACCATCACTGTAGCAGTGCATAAGTTGGCATCCTGATCCTTGGGAACCAGCTGCACTCCCAGCTCCTCCTCCCTGCACAACCCTGCACTCCAGCTCCAGTTTGGAACCCCAAACCTGGGATGAAGGCTCTCCCTCTCTTCTGAACAGTTCCTGTGCAGCTCTCCAGGTCTCCAACTCCCACTGTAGCACTTGTGGTGCTGAGGGTGACACGTGGTCACTCACCCAGCTTGTGGAAGGTCAGATCCTACCAGGTGTATGTGTGTTGTTGGTTGGAGAAATCAATAAATGACCTGTAAAAACACCCCTTTGCTTCTCTTTGGTCCACTGTTGGAGCTGGGCCTGGTGCTTTGTTTCCAAAGCCAAGTGAGGTAACTTCTCCCACTCCCTTCATTAGCATTTCTCTAGAGAAGTGGAATTAATGGAGGCTCCTCCAGCAGGAAAGGTACAAAAACTTCCCAAGGAATTTCTCCTGGGAAACGTTTCATCTCTTCGAGTTAAACGTTCTGTGGGAGAATTTCTTGCTCACTGTGCCTTGGATTAAAGCTGGATGTGCTGGCCCTGTGTGAGCTGGAAATGGATGTTGGCAACATCCTCACAAACCCAGACCCCAGATTTGAAACGGTGCAGGGAAACAATCCTGAAAAAAGGCCTGGGAAGCTGCTACACTCCAATGCTTCCTGTGTGGCAGGGAGAGAAAAGGAGCTGGGCTGCAGCTGGTCTCATGCAGGAGGGGAAGGGAAGTTTCATAGCAGAGCATGAGGTGAAAATTGGGCTGAGTCAGAGAGAAAATGACATTCAGGCTGCTCTGACTGGACTCCAATGAGCTGCTCTGTTCAGCAGTGACAGTCCCAGTCTCCCAAGGAACAGGCAGGAGGAGGCTCTGCACGGCTGAGGCCACATCCCTGTCCAGCTCAGTGTTAATTCTCAGCAAAGCCCTGAGATCTCTGCATGCCCAAACTCTGTGGTGGCCTCGAAGAGTCCTTTTCTACTCTACCTACATCCCACCAAGGTGGAGCAGCTGGAGCTGGAGTATTTCCCCCTGGAATTCCAAGAGCTCTGAGTGCAGATGCTGCTGCTGCTCCCAACCCCTGCTACCCCCCCTCTCCTTCAGGCCCTTAAACCACCCTCCCTGCAAACCCCATCCCATGTAAATAAAGCTTAATACAACTATTAAAAGTCTGCCTACAGGGAAAGCTCACAGACTCCCTTATTTCCTGGGCTCCTCTGGAAAGATGGAACTTTGCCAAGGGAGGGAGCAGAGATCAGTATCAGGGTCCCCCAGTGATCCCAGTTTTCTGTGACCTCAGGAATGCCAACTGAGGTGACAGGTCAGCCCACAGCAGGGCAGGAAGCACAAGGGCCACGTTTCTGCAGGAGCTGGGGCACGTTTCCAATGGGGGCAGGAAGCCAACGCCGATCCCGCTGACTCCCGGGGCTGCAGCAGCACAGCTGCTCCATCCCGCTGGAAACACCAACGTTTTCCAGACTATCCCCTCCTAAATGACAGCTTCCCAGGCCAAGGGCTGGGCAGGACAGGCAGGGACAGGCCTGGATCCAGTCCAGCACTGCCACCTCCGCTTCGTTCATCCGGCCGGAATCAAAGCTTTCCCTGGAGTTACAACCCTTGCAGGCTTCCCCTCCTCTTTCCCAACAGGATTTCTGCTCCCAACGCCCTGGATTTCCTGCTCCCAGCTGGGGAAGGGGAGGGACTCTGGCCTTGTGGCCTAACAGAGAGGAGGAGGAGGAGGAGGAGGAGGAGGATGGGCTCTGTAACTCAGCCCCAGCGCTTGCCAGGCTCCACATCCTGCTTTGGGGCTTGCAGGAAGGACAGACACCATCATCCTCTCGGGATGTGACTGAAGGAGCAGACTTTGGGCTGCCAAGTCAGGAAGGGGGGATTTAGGCTCTGGAGCAAATGAAGAGCCAATTCCTCTTCACCATCGACTGTTCTGGGGAGGATTTTCCAGCATGCGGCAGCGAGGAGGTAAGGAAAGATTTCAGGATCATCAGCCCCAGCTGCTCCAGGGTCCAGCTGCTCCCTCGGGCAGGATCCTGCCTCTGCCAGAGAGGATGGAAGGGAGACAAGCAGAGGATGGGATCAGAAGAGCTTCCCGGGGGCTCAAAACCGGATCAGACAGATGTGACCCCCTGACTGGGGGCACAAACCAAACTGCTAAAGCTGTAAAGGTGCTCCACTTCAAATCCCTTAAAGCTTAAGTCGTTACAGTAATTTGGTGGGAAAGAGAAAGGCTGTTAAACAGTTTCCAGGCAGGGATAATGTGTAATTTAACATCCCTTGTCAACAAAAGCTGGTGGATCTTCCCCCACCTCCCAAACTGAAGGCAGAGTGTGGGGTTTGCTTCGGCAGCAGCCAAGGGGTTCCAAGGCAGCTCCTGCCTTCAGGGGAACAGCTTTGGAACTGAAACAGCACCGGAGGAAGGTGTTAATGTGTCCTGAAACTCCCATTTCAGGGGAAAGGAAGGAGCATGAAGAGCCCAAGGAAGCTGGGAAGAGCCCAGGGGCAGGAGCAGCACACGGAGGGTGGGCTTGGGCAGTGGTGCTTCACTTCTTCCTGGTAAGCACAGAATAAATCCCACTGAACCCTCCGTGATCTGAGGCAGAGGGAAAGCTTCAAATCTCAGAGGACATGACAGGCTGATCCCACCCAGCTTCATCCTTCCCTATGGAATGGCAGCTGCAAACATCCCAGGGATGGACATGAGGGTCCCCAGCCCACAGCCCAGGGCCAAAGGCACCTTGCAAGGATAAAATGACTGTTCTCTACTCAAACACACCCCACTGGGGAGTCCTGTCCCTTCAGAAGGGGTGGGATCCCACCTTGGGCAGTGAGATGGGAGCCAGGGATTGACTGAGAGCAGCACACACACACTTGGGACTCCCTCCTCCACTCAAAGGCACCAATTCTCCATTTCACAGGATTTAACACCACACAATCTTCCCACCAGTGATGAACCAAGGAATCCTTAAGGCTGGAAAAGATCTTTAGGGTCATCAGGTCCAACTGTAATGAAGGCACCACCCCCCAAGCTGGGAAAGCTTTCCCCAATTCCACCCCATCCCAAGTAACTTGCTGCCAATCATTAACCCCCTGCCACCAGGGAGGTGAGAGGGAGTTAAAATTAAGGACACAAAGTGTGTGTCCTTTGCTCCCACGGCAGCACAAGCCTGGGAATCTGCCCTGGATAACATCCATCCTGCTCCTCTCACCCCCTCATCGACCCCCAGGGATCTTCAGCAGTGCCAAGACCCATTTAATTGTTGCTTTAGTATTAAAAAGTAACTCATAGAGCAAAAATATCCCGGAAGAGTTGGGTTCTAGTGTGATTTTGTTTCTTTTCCTTAGAAAAGGCAGTTTGCAGAGGGGTTTTTGAGGGTCTGTTAAGATGAAACTGCAGCATGGCCACCATGAGCTCGCCCTGCTGATATTCCCCAACACCAGCTCAAGTGTCCCAGTTTGTTTGTCATCATAACAAATTATCCACACAAGAAAAGCAAAAGGATCCCTCCTGATCCCCTGTGGCTCCTCACCTCTGTCTGCTCCTGACTCAGGTCAACGTCTTCGTGATGGGGATGCTCAAGACCTTTGGGATTTTCTTTGTGGCTTTCCAAGAGGATGTGGGGGGCTCCTCTGAGCAGGTCAGCTGGATTGGCTCCATCATGTCCTCCCTGCGCTTCCTAGGAGGTGAGCTGGTATTCCCAAGGATTGGGACGGTGCTTCAACCCCAGGCACATTTGCTTTAAGAGCACTGATGATGTTCTGCAGATCCAATTCCCTTCCCAGACTGCTCCCAGCTGGACATGGCTGGTACCCACACGTGACTTAGCAGGAATGTGGTCTAAAGATGGGTTTGTATGTCATTTAGATGGGATATTGGGAAGGAATCCTTCCCTGTGAAGGTGGTGAGGGGCTGGGATGGAATTCCCAGAGAAGCTGTGGCTGCCCCATCCCTGGAAGTGTCCAAGGCCAGGTTGGACGGGGCTTGGAGCAACCTGGGCTAGCAGAAGGTGTCCCTGCCCATGGCAGGGGGTGGAATGGGTTGAGCTTCAGGATCCCTTCCGATCCAAAAGATCCTGGGATTCCATGATTCTGGAGCCCCTCTGCTCTGGAGCCAGGCTGGGAGAGCTGGGAGTGCTCACCTGGAGAAGAGAAGGCTCCAGGGAGACCTTGGAGCCCCTTCCAGTGCCTAAAGGGGCTCCAGGAGAGCTGGAGAGGGACTTGGGACAAAGGATGGAGGGACAGGACACAGGGAATGGCTTCCCACTGCCAGAGGGGAGGGATAGATGGGATATTGGGAGGGAACTGGCTGTGAGGGTGGGGAGGCCCTTTTGTCACCTCCAGCCTGAGCTTTGTCCCTCTCTCCCTTTGCAGCCCCCCTCGTGAGCGTCGTGTGCCGGGGGCTGGGGGAACGTCCCACCTCCCTCCTCGGGGCCGGGCTGGTGGCTGGGGGGTGCCTGGTGAGCACCCAGGCCACCAGTGTCCCCTTCCTCTGCGTCTCCATGGGACTCCTCCTGGGTGAGCAGCCTCTGACACACATTTCCCTGTGCACCACGAAGGAATCGGCTCCTTTATAACCTCAAACCTGGGGAAGGGTCTGGAGGGGAAGGGGAGGGTACACAGATTGTTCAGCTGGAGGAGACAGGTCAGAGCTCCTGGGGGTCTGCAGCTCCCTCAGAGGGGCAGAACCATCTCTGCTCTGTGTGACCAGGGACAGCAGCCAGGGAATGGCTGGAGCTGTGTCAGGGCAGGGTCAGGTTGGATCTCAGGCAAAGGTTCTTCCCCCAGAGGCTGGTTGGGCACTGCCCAGGCTCCCCAGGGCAGTGGGCACAGCCCCAAGGCTGCCAGAGCTCCAGGAGGGTTTGGACAATGCTCTGAGGGACAGGGTGGGATTGTTGGGGTGTCCTGGGCAGGGCCAGGAGTTGGACTGATGATCCCTGGGGGTCCCTTCAACTCAATTGTTTTGTGATTCTGTAAAACCTCGAGTGGCAAAGCATCCCCAGCTCCTTTCTATGAGATGTTGGGTGAACCCTCAAAACTCCATGCTCAGGAGAATAAAACAGAGTTTCAGCACACTAGACCCAACTAACTCTGATTTTTTTCTGGCTCCAACAAATCCTGGCCTTTTAAAACCTCTCACTAAAAGGGCACAGCCTCCAACCCCCCAGACATTGAACACCACACACAAAACCTCGCTCTCCACTGACCCCAACAGCAGAAATCCCATGTTCACGGGAAATCCCCCCAGGAACGCTGCATCCCACAGACCTGGCATGGCATGACTTAAAATTCCAAGAGCTCATGAGACAATTTGGGCATAGATGTGTTATTTTTGACCTTCCCCCAGGGCTGGGCTTTGCCTGCCTGTACCAGGCGGCCGCAGTGGTGACGGCCCAGCGCTGCCGGGCACGTTTGGGCTTCTCCAACGCCGTGGCCCGTTCTGGGATGGGGCTCACCTTCCTCATGGCACCCTTCACCCAGCTCCTCCTCGACTTCTATGGCTGGCAAGGTGAGCCATCTCCTGCTTATCCAAATTTATCAGCACCGAGAGGGCGTCTGGGGAGATCTGGGCACGGGAAGAGGCTCCTTTTAAAGATTAAAATTCCACAGCTCTGCCTCTTCTAGGATGGCTTGGGGACATCTTAATGATTAAACACCTAATCACGCGTTAAAATCGGTGTCAAAGCAGAGACCTGAGAAATCAAACCCAAAAATCCCCACTTTGACTGCAGTTTCATGCCATCTTGAAGGTCCATCACGACTTCTAGTGAGGGTAAACAAAACAAGCTCCCAGATCCCAGAGGCAGCTCTGGATTTGTTGTGTGCATCAGAGCAGAAAGGACTTCTAGACAGAAAAACAGGAATAAAACTTCCTCTTTTGTTACCTCCTCCATAAGGAGGGGGCAAAACGCCTTCTCCCTATGGCAGACTTTCTCCATGTTCAGTGCATGGCCTGTTATAAAAGCTTATTTTCTACTGTACCTCCTTCTCACTCCAAGAATAAAACACCTCCTGTCCTCCCTCAGGAACTCTCCTGATTTTTGGAGGCATCATGTTGAACCTGGTGCCTTCCAGCCTGTTGCTGAGACCCATCAGCACCCGACACTCCTCTGCCAAAAACCAAGACTGTGCATCATCAGTGGCACAGAAGGATCCAGAAACTCCTGATGGATGTTTAGATGGAACCACTGACAGGGAATTACACCCTCACAATGCACAGGAGCTTCCCAGCATAGAGACACTCCCCATGTCCCACGGCAAAGACGTCTCTGATCCCATAAATCCATCTGCCTTGGGAAAGTCGGAGAAACCCACCCCAGACAGATCCTCACCAGAAACAACCACCGGGGCCAAGAGAAGCAACAAACCCCCTCCAGCAACCAAAAAAGAAACTTCTCAGCCTCTCCTGGATTTGTCCCCACTGAAGGATCCCCTTTTCTTCATCTTCACGTGGTCCTTTTTGTTCAGCCACTTGGCCTATTTCGTGCCCTTCTTCCACCTGGTGGCAAGAGCCAAGACACTGGGAATGAGCAGCACGGATGGCTCCTACCTCATCTCAGTGGCTGGTAGGCAAAGGAATCTTTTAAACCCATTTTAGAAGAGAAAACCAACCCAAATTTTGCCAAGAAATAGTCCCAGATATGTCCTAGAAGGAATCCTCCTGGTGGAGGTTGAGCTCACAGCCCTGAGCCCTCTGTATATTCAGAATCACCTTCTGTACAGAACAAGTTGCTCTCACAGGGTGGGTGGTTCTCCCAACCCAACGTGGATGATTCCCCATCCTCCCTGCTCCCAACAAACCCAATTTTCCAGTAAAAAGGTGCTCTCTGTCCTCCTGGAGCCTTCTCACCACCATCCCTGCTTTGCTTAAACCCACAACCCACAGAAATCACTCGGAATCCAAAGAGCCCCAGTTTGACCCAGGAGAGAAAAATTCAATATTGTGGAAAAAATCCACCTCCAAGGGGTGGTGGTGGTGGAAAAACCAACCTAAACTCCCCAAAAAACAACACCATGCCTGATTATAAACTGGGATTAACACACTGGGTTAAGAAAGCAGCTCCAATCTCAGTCATATTCAAATATTTTATTGTACAAAAATACATTTTCCTTCTACAGAGCTGTGGGATATTTAGCAATGACGTGCTGTCAAGGGATTTAGGAGAGCCCAGAAATTCATGTGGTATTTTGAATTAAGAGTAGGAGGGACACAGTGGTGCAAGACATGAGCTGACAGTGAGCTCTCCTCTGACCTTTGGTTCATAAAAATGTATCAAGAAATGTAAAAAAACAAGTATCAAAAGTTTGCTGAGCCTTTAAAGAAATGCTGGGCAATTTGCTTCTTTGGAAAAATTAAAATCTCATGCACATATTTCTTAATATTCCGCTTTTTCTCCATCTCAGAGAAGGGATCAGACAGCACATTTATCTTCCCTGTTTTTACTGAAGGGCATTTCAGAGATTTCTGCTGAGTGCAGAGCCCTTGACTGAATTTTTACAGACTTGGTAATAGCTGGGGAAAGGCAAAAAAACCCCAGATATCAATTTTACAACAGCCTAAAAACACCTCCCTGTAACTTTTTGGCGTTTCAGCCTTCTGTGGTCATAGCGAGCAGGTGAAACCGGGATGTGACACAAGGAAAAAGAGGAAAAAAATGTCCCAAATGAAGTGTTTTTTGAGGCTCTGGTGACTCCTGTTCCCTCAGGCATCACAGAGATGCTGAGCCAGCTGCTCTCGGGCTGGGTGGCCGACCACAACTGGACCAAGAAGTACCATTTCCACGTGACTTACCTGGTCCTGAGCGGGATCACAAACCTCCTGGGGCCCCTGGCCACGACATTCCCGCTGCTCCTCACCTACACCGTGGCCTTTTCCCTGTTCTGTGGAGGGTTCATGGCTCTGGTGCTCCCGGTGCTGGTGAGTCGGGGGGTTGTGCTGATCTGCTCCCAATCCCAGAATTATCTGGAACACACAGGGATCAGTCATGGAAGGATCTGGCTACAGTGAATCCAGAGAGGCCACGGAGATGCTCCAAGGACTGGAGAACCTCTGCTCTGGAGCCAGGCTGGGAGAGCTGGGAATGTTCCCCTAGAGAAGGGAAGGCTCCAGGGAGACCTGAGAGCCCCTTGCAGGGCCTAAAGGGGCTCCAGGAGAGCTGGAGAGGGACCGGGGACAAGGGATGGAGGGACAGGACACAGGGAATGGCTTCCCACTGCCAGAGGGCAGGGATAGATGGGATATTGGGAAGGAATTCTTTCCTGGGAGAGTGGTGAGGGGCTGGGATGGAATTCCCAGAGAAGCTGTAGCTGCTTCATCTCTGGAAGTGTCCATGGCCAAGCTGGATAAACTTGGAGCAACCTGGGATGGTGGAAGGTGTCCCTGTCCATGGCATTGGATGAGCTTTAAGGTCCCTTCCAACCCAAACCATCCCAGGATTCCATGATCAGGATGAGGAGGCGTAATTATAATTTGGCATTTCTTTCTAGGAAGGAATTTACAGTTTAAAACACCTTCCTCAAAGTCTTACTGTCTGGAAGTCAGAGGAGTATCTCACATCCCAGTAATTTCCATCCTGGCCTTAAGGAGGCGAAGGGATTCCAGGCTGGATCAGACCTTCCAAAGCTGCAGCTGAAGAGGAAACTCCCCAGGAAAAACATCAATTAATCTCTTGTGCTTTAAAACAAATCAATTAATCTCTTCTGTTTACACATTCCCACGAAATCCATCACTAATGATCCATTTTGGTTTACCAACAGGTGGATCTGGTGGGTGTGGAAAAGCTCCACAGTTACCTGGGGTTTGCTGCCTTCTTTGCAGGGATAGCAGCCATTGGAGGGCCTCCTCTGGCAGGTAAATACTATATATAATATAATATAATATAATATAATTTATTAGAATATACAATATATATTATACATTCTATATTGTGCACTCTATATTATAAACATTATGTATTCTTATACATCTCCAATATTAAATATACATATATTTTATATATTATCTATACTATATAGTATAATATTATATGTATTTTATATATATATATAATATATATATATATATATATATATATATATGCACACACACCCACCACACACATCCAGTGATAAAGCTGCTGGTTCACTCTCACACATGGATCCATCCTGGTTTTCTGTTCAAACAGGGGGGCTAAAATCCTATTTCAGGAATGTCTTTATACACAGGCAACGTTTTGCTGGGGAATTTGCAAAACCCAACCAGCAGCTTGGAAAATGTGCCCAGTTTAACCCCAACCACAGCAGGATAACGACCACATTCCCATGGATTTTACCCCCAGCAGTGTCAGAGTTAACACTGAATTTGGACTGGAGAGGATGGAAGGAGAGGAAGGTGAGGCAGGGATGGGCTCAGCAGCATTCCTGTAAAACAGAGGCTCCAGAACATCAGGAAAAGCCTCAATAATCTCTTGTTTGGGGACAGATCCCAGAGCTCAGCCCTGAGAGCTGCTGGGCCCAAAGATAGGGAGGATGAAAAGCTTTTCCCCTTCTTCCTCTGCCAGGAAAACAAGGCACTGGGGAGGATCTGGCACATCTCAAGCTCTTAGAAGTGAGTCTCTCACCTCTGCTTGGGAACACGGGAATTGTTCTCCTCCAAACAGCTTGGCCAGGACAGAGCTTTTCCTGTCCCTGGGATATTTTCCTCTCCCTGCATTTTCCAGCCCAGAAAAATTCCACAGTGTGGGCAGGAGGGGAGGGGGGATTCTGCCCCTCTGCCCCTCAGGTGAGACCCCCCTGCAGAGCTGCTCCAGCCCTGGGAACAACAGCACAAGGACGTGGAGCTGCTGGAGAGAGTCCAGAGGAGGCCACAGGGATGCTCCAAGGGCTGGAGCCCCTCTGCTCTGGAGCCAGGCTGGGAGAGCTGGGAATGTTCCCCTGGAGAAGAGAAGGATCCAGGGAGACCTTGCAGGGCCTGAAGGGGCTCCAGGAGAGCTGGAGAGGGACTGGGGACAAGGGATGGAGGGACAGGACACAGGGAATGGCTTCCCACTGCCAGAGGGCAGGGAGAGATGGGATATTGGGAATGAATCCTTCCCTGGGAGTGTGGTGAGGGACTGGAATGGAATTCCCAGAAGATGCTCCATCCCTGGAAGTGTCCAAGGCCAGACTGGGCTAGTGGGAGGTGTCCCTGCCCATGGCACTGGAGGAGCTTTAAGGTCCTTTCCAACCAAACCATCATTTGTTGCCTCCTGCCCTCCAAATCTCCAGGCCCTGGCTGGAAGCTGCCAAGAAATCCCAGCTCAGTGGGAAGTTTTAGCAGGGCCAGCACAGGCAAAAATTGATTTTCCTAATCAATATCTCCGGGCTGGTAAAACTGTGCCTGTGGATCCAATTTCAAGCAGCCCAAACATTTTCATTTATATTTTATTTCCTGGACAGGGAGCTCCACCCTGGCAGGGTGATGAACTGCCTGGGGGACAGATCTCTGCTGGCACAGGAGGAATTCCCAGCACAAAGCAATCCCTCTAAATTCCCTGTCATGGGAAGAGTGTGGAAGGAGCTGAATAAATTAGCTGTCTCTTATTGCAGTTTTATTTCCATCCCCTTGCAATAGATTTTCATTAACTGGAAGCCTTTTGCTTCCTGAAGTGCTGCATTTCCGGATTGTGGAAAATGAGGTTTCCTGTAAAAAAGCTTTTTTTCCAGCTTTTTCATGATTTTTCCAGATTTTTAAGATATCTGGCTTAATGTTGGTGGGATAAAGAAAGGCCAAATAGAGCCAGGAAATAAAACTCTCACTGATCCATCCAGAGGGAAACAATTGAGAGTTCAAGATCCAGGTTATTTATTAATTCATTTGTTAATTTATTGTTCAGTTATTAATTTATCCAAATAAATTCTTCCGTTTTCTCATGAAAACTGAATATAACCAGATGCTACTGATGAAGTGTCCAAACCCAGCTGTTCCCTGCAGAGCTCAGGATTTAGGGTTTGGTGCTCTGACCTCCCTAAACCTTAAGAATTAGGATTTTATAAAATTCAAGTGCTTTTATGCAGCAAAACCTGATGGATAATGAGAACTGCAAAGGTTAAAATGGTCAAAAATATTAAAATAATATTATATTATATATATATATAATTTCAAATATATAATATATAGTATTACATAATGTAACAATATACAATATTCTATATTGTTATATTATAGATACTGCAATATTTTAACAATAATTAAATCTATCATATACTCTATAAATTATATAATTTATAAGAATATTTATAAAAACATTTGTAAATATTTATAAAACATAAAAATATAAAAATATAAATTCATTTTAACAATTTTTATAAAATAATAAAATTTCATTACAATTTATAAAAATATTTGTAACAGTACTATAAAAACTATAGAATTTATAAAATATTAGATGTAAAATAAGTGTATTTAAAATAAATAACATTTAAAATATGATTATATTGCATATTAGAAAGCCTAATGCAAGGAAAGGTGACATACCTGCAAATCTGTTCAGGTAAAAGCCCAGGGGGAAAAGTTTGGAATCTCCTTTGGAGCTCCCCATCCACCAGCACCAGTGAGAAAACCCCTCAAACCAAATCAGAACAAACATTATTTTGGCTCATTTTGTTTCCATAAACAGTACAAACCATTAACTCAAAGTGCAAAAGAACTGAATATAACATAATCCAAATTACAGAACACATCTATCATCCAAATTTCAGGATCTATTCTGTCTCCAATCCAAATTTCAGGATACATTCCAGCCCTCAGCACACGAATTCCAGCCCCAGGAATGCTGGGTGCTGGGAGGGGGGAGGATGGACTCCCTCAAAAGCTGGGCTGGTACTTTTATTGACATTTTACCTTCATCTTCCCACTGAATTTTCCAACTTAAGGCATCAGGAATAATTTTAACAACCTGATCCCAGCAGGAGCAGTGCCAGGAATGTTTCATCTGGAGTGCTTTGCTGCCTGGGATTTACCAGCATTCCTTACAAAACTGCTGGAATTTGGACACCAGGAGCTTCTAATTCGGTTTTTGGCAGCAGGAAGGATTATTTTTGAATATAAATATACAGAATACAGAAAATATGTAAAATATATATAATATATAAAATATATAAAACATACATAATACATATTTTTGAATATAACTATATAGGATGTATAAAAGCATATATCTTAATATTAACATATAGAATATATAAATATATAAATATATAATATATATAATATATAATATATATTATATATATAATATATATTATATATAATATATATAATATATTTTCTACATAATATATATAATATATATAATATATATAATATATATAATATATTAAATATATAAAATATTAAATATATAAAATGTAGATTGAATGTGTAAAATATACATAATATGTATTTTTAATATAAGTATATAGAATATATAAAATATATAGACACATGGAAAATATATAAATATATATTCTATATACAAAATATAGAGAATATATATAATATAGAATATAGATATGCATAATATAGACTATCTGAAATATATAATATGTTGAATATATAAATATAGAATATATATTTTTAATATAAATGTATTATATATATAAATTTGTATATATAAATATATAAAATTTATGGATACATGAAAATACACATATAAAATATATATATACACGATATATATAAAACATAGAGATATGTAGAATATATAAAACATATAATATATTCACTATATGAAATATATAGTATATAAAATATATATATTTCTTATAAGAATTGGGGCACAGACCCTGGAGGTGGTTTAAAAGGTGTGATGGGGTGGGAGGTGATGCTGTGCTGCCACTGAGGAGGCAATGCTGGGAAATCCCATTGCTCCTCAATCCCATTTGGTCCCAAAAAATCCCCTTCAACCCCAATTTTCCCACAGGAAAATCAAAAAATACTCTGAAGGACAGATTAAAAATAAGGATAATTTATCCTTAATTTAAGGAAAGGATAAATTACCAATAATTACGATAATTCTGAGCTCGGCTGGAGCTCTGTCCTGAACATCTCCCAAAGGGTTGGATCAGCATCCCTTCTCCTCTCCACATCCCAGAGACTTCCAGGCAGGAAAAACAGATCCCACCTTGGAGAATAAACCCCTCAAGGCCATGGGAGTGTCACCCACATCACCGAGTCCAGCGCTGCAGGATCCCCTTCTCCAACAGCTCCAGCTCCTCCTGTGCTGAGGCTCCCACGAAATTCCTGAAAAAAAACCCAGAGAAACTCCCCTGAGAAAAGAATGAGCCAAGAGGAACCAAAAGGGGGGAAGAGCAGCTTCTCCTGTCTTTGCAAAACCTTCCTGCAGCCGGGGAAATCCACGGCAAGGGAACGGCAGCTCCGTCACCCAGCCCCAAATTCCACATTCAGGCACCATTTCTTCCCTTGCCTGTTCATAAAAGCTCCCACACGGCCAAGCCCAGGATCTCAGGGATGTTTTATGTTCCTTCCCGGGTTTCAGAATCCCAGATTTAGGCCAGATCTGCTGTTTGTGTAAATCCTGGAAGCTCATGGATGTCCCCAAAGGAATTTCACTTCAACTGCTACCCCACCTCCCACGCCAGATTTGGGAGTGCATCAGGATTTGATCACGTGCAGCAGCATCTCCCATCCCTTTGGATATTTTAGATTCCACCAGAGGAATTATCCCCCTTCCCAGTGATTGCCCACATTTGCCAGAACTAAACACAACACTTGGAGGTCACTTTAAAAGGTGACCCTCGCAGATTCCTGAGGCTTTATGGAATTCAGCTTTTCCTTTTAAGTCCTCACAAAGCTGCTTTTAAGTAAGTCCAATCCCAGGTCCTGGCATGGGGTCTCTCATTTAGACAGGTTGAATTAAATTGGGGCTGAAGAAAACTGAATTAAATTGGGGTACAAGAAAAAAGGCTGGAGAAACGAGGGGTTTGCAGCCCAGATGTTGGAAACACCAACACGTGCAAGTCATCCTGTCATTCCATTGGGATCTTCCACCTGCTCAGGCAGCTACTTTTGGCCCACCTAAACAGGGGGGAAAAAAAAAATCAGGGCTTAAATTCAATCAAATGAAACCAAATGCCCACAACAAGGATCAAAGCTGGCCCGGGGAAGAAAGACAAGTTTAGTCCTGACTGGAAATGCTGCCCAGGAAGAGCTTAAATAACTGAGGAATTCTGAAACGAGAACACACAACCTTTGCCTCCCACCCACCTCCCCAAAATGACTTTTTTCAGTGAGAGAAATCCCAGAGCTTTAACCCCAACCTTGTCTCCTCAGGTTGGCTCTACGACCACACCCAGACCTACGCCTGCTCCTTCCTCTTCGCCGGGGCCTGTGCCCTCATCTCCCCCCTGTCCTTCTGCCTCGAGCCCTGGGCACAGAAACAGAAGCTCAAATCAGCCAGTCTGAACCCCAAGCCCAGGGCTGGCTGAAGGGTTAAAGCCTGGCCTGGAGCTGTATCCACAAAGGGAAAGCCATGGCCAGAACAGCCCAGCTGTCCCGGGAATATCGACGGCAGCGACAGTGGAAACGGGAATTCTAGATGAGAGATTCAGTTTGAACATCTGGATATTGCTCCTGATTAGATTCTGGTTTTGTATCTGGATATTTCTCCTGATTAGATTCAGTTTGGGTATCTGGATATTGCTCCTGATTAGATTTATTTTGGATATCTGGATATTGCTCCTGATTAGATTCAGTTTTGATATCTGGATATTGCTCCTGATTAGATTCTGGTTTTATATCTGGATATTTCTCCCAATTACCTTCACTTTGTGTATCTGGATATTGCTCCTGATTAGATTTATTTTGGATATCTGGATATTGCTCCTGATTAAATTCAGTTTGGGTATCTGGATATTTCTCCTGATTAGATTCTGGTTTTATATCTGGATATTTCTCCCAGTTACCTTCACTTTGTGTATCTGGATATTTCTCCTGATTAGATTTATTTTGGATATCTGGATATTGCTCCTGATTAGATTTATTTTGGATATCTGGATATTTCTCCTGATTAGATTCTGGTTTGTATCTGGATATTTCTCCTGATTAGATTCACTTTGTGTATCTGGAT